CTCCTGAAAAAAAAAAATTGGACCTGAAGTTAGGAACAATTCCTATTCCAGTCAATGGTCAGAACAAGGACATTGAGGCGCAAAGGCAGCCAAGGACATTGCACCCATGCTGAACAAAACAAACGTTGGTCAATCGTTGGGGGGCTTCCGTTTTGGGAGTGGCATTGGGTTTGCAAATGCTCGAAGATCGTTGCGCAGCTGTTGGGGCCCTTGAAGGTACTGCGTGTCTTAAATGGAAACAATAAACCGCCAAAAACAACAAGAACCGAACCAAAAAACATCAAAAAACACTGGACGACGGATGGCCGGGAGCGTGGAGGATAGAAGTAGCAGCTGTCAGAGGTGTAAAAATACAATTTGAATTCTTGGGTTTTATTGCTGCTTTGCATGTTTGCCACACGATGCTACAAGTATACGTGCAGATGCAAGTTTCTAGAGTTGTTGCTGTGGAAAAAGTAAAGTGAGACTCGTGGACACCGCGAATCATCCCACTCCCCACCGACACGCCGAATTTACCCCAGCATGCTTTCCTTCCCCCAATGGCACGGCACAGCGACATCACAAACGGAATTTGGCCATACAGTGCGAAACAGACTATAGATACAACAATGTAAAATGAAGCATCGTGGGCGCAACCAGTGCCCAGACGACACGCCGAATTTACACCAGCACGTTTTCCTTCACCCAATGGCACAAACTCACGCAAACGCACATTCCATCGCAGCCGCACAAAACCGCATGGCACAGCGACATCACAAACGGAATTTGGCCACGCAGTTTAAAACAAACTAGATACAACAATGTAACATGAAGCATCGTGGACACGAATTCACCCCGCTCCCCAGCAACACGCAAAATATACGCCGCCTGGTTTCCCTTCCCTGATTGGCGCGGACTCATGCAAACGCCATTACCACCGTGGCGCGCAAAACCCCATGGCACAGTGACATCACAGGCGGAATTCAGCCACACCCTGCGCAACAGACTAGATACGACTTCATACAACAATGCAAAAACATTAAGCATCGTTGGCACCGCCAATGATCCAGCTCAGCAACACGCAGAATTTACACCAGCGTGTTTTCCTTCACCCAATGGCACGGACTCACGCAAGCAAACACACTTCCCACCGCAGGGTGCCAAGCTGCATGGCACAGCGAGATCACAGACAGAATTTGGCCACACGGTGCGCAAACAGACTTAGATCAGATACAACGTACCATGTAACATTAAGCGGCGTGGGCGCCGCCAGTCATGCCGCTCCCCATTGACACGCCGAATTTCCACTAGCAAGATTTCCTCAACCCAATGCACGGACTCACGCAAACGCACTTTCCACCGTGGCCGGGCAAAACCGCATGGCACAGCGACATCACTGACCGAATTTGGCCACACTGTGTGGAACAAACTAGAGACAACTTCATTCAACAATGCAGTAACATTAAGCATGGTGGGCACCGCCAATCTTCAGCTCAGCGGTAGGCCGAATTTACACCAGCATGTTTTCCTTCACCCAAGGGCACGGACTCACGCAAACACACTTCCCACCGCAGGGCGCCAAGCTGCATGGCACAGCAAGATCACAGACAGAATTTGGCCACGCGGTGCACAAACAGACTTAAATAAGACATGCAACATATATACAACGTACCATGTAACATTAAGCGGCGTGGGCGCCACCAGTCATCCCGCTCCCCATCGACACGCCGAATTTCCACTAGCAAGATTTCCTCAACCCAATTCGCGGACATCACTGACGGAATTGGCCACACAGTGTGCAACAAACTAGATACAACAATGTAACTCGAAGCATGGACACCGCCAACCCGCTCCCCAGCGACACGCCGATTTTCCTTCACCCAATGGCACGGACTCGCGCAAACACACTTTCCACCGTGGCCACGCCAAACCCCATGGCACAGCGACACCACCGACGGAATTAAAACACACCGTATGCAAACAGACTAGATACAACAATGTAACATTTAAGCGGCGTGGACGCCAGTCATCCCGTTCCCCAGCTACACGCCGAATTTACACCAGCACGTTTCTTTCCCCCAATGGCACGGACTCGCGCAGACCCACTTTCCACCGCCGCCATTTCGACGACAGTTACAAAATGTTACATACACACTTTGCCATTTTTGGCGGCAGTTGCACTGAGCTCTTTGGCGGCCTCCACCTTCGCTTTCGCGACGGCTTCGCACTGGCAACCTCCACCTTCGTTTTTGGCGACAGCTACACGCTTTGGCGACCTCCACCTTCGCTTTCGCGACGTTTTTGCACTGGCAACCTCCGCCTTGGTCTTTGGCGACAGCTACACGCTTTGGCAACCTCCACCTTCGTTTTTGGCGACAGCTACACGCTTTGGCAACCTCCACCTTCATTTTCGGCGACAACTGCACACTTTGGCAACCTGCACCCCGCTTTCGACGACAGTTACACACTTTGGCAACCTCCACCGTTTTCGACGACAGTTGCACACTTTGGCAACCTCCACCGTTTTCGACGACAGTTACACACGTTAGCCATTTCCAGCTTCCGGCGCCAATTGCGATGACAGTTGCACATCGCAGCTGCCACCACAATTTTGACGACAGTTGCACACATCGACGACCAAATTCGCATTTCGCCTCTCACGTTTGAGCACTCGACACACACGATCTCCGCAGAGGGTTCACCGCGGTAACACAAACATTGAATTCACTCGACAAGCGTGATCTCCCCGAGCGAAAGTTATACTTAAGCTTGATTTTGCATGTGGTTCCACTTAAGCAAGACCCCAGCGAAAGTTATACTTGACTTTGCATATAAACAGTTACTTAAGAAACATCCCAGCGAAAGTTATCCAAGCAAGATCCCAGCACCAAAGCAATCCACCAAAGCAAGATCCCAGCACCAAAGCAATGCTAGCGCAGCGGCAGCTCTACACAACCATACCTGCAAGCCGCAGATGCAAGCTGCAAATGTAGCTTATAGCATACATACCAACGCAGCTACATAGGCTTGGGCAGAAACAGCCAGAAAGATATTGATGCAAATGCGTTATGCAAAAGATTTCTACAGAAGAACCCTGGGCAACGCTCCCGGGAGGAACAGAATCGGAAAAAAAACATTTAAATATATATATATATATAAAGAAACCGAACCGAACAACAACAAAAAAGAACGACACAAACCGACCCTCAACCATGAACACGTGAAACCAAACGAAACTAACGATAGTAGGTTTACTGAACACCACGCCTTCTAAACAACAAATCAAATGGGTTTGGGTGGGGGCCATGGCTGTCGGTGGAAAAGTGCAGTGTTTCAGTGGCACACTTGAGATATCTTGAGATGTTGTGACACAGCTCTATTGGTCACCCTGCGAACGGGAGGCTGGGCGAAATCTTGGCACAGGATTGAGGCCACAGACTCTCTATGACTCTATGGTCGTTCGAGCACGTGCAAGCTGTGCAAGCAGCAGACTTAACTTAACTGACCAACCCTGGAAGCCAACATCGTCCGTAACTCCGTAACTTTCTTAGACTATATATACTTCACACAAGTCCTCTCCGAGCTGGATCCTTGCACACTCAGTGAGCTGAAAAATGATGTCCCCCAACACTCAGTTGTAGAGAAGATTGGTCCACTATCAGTTAGGTAGGGGATGCACCCGCAACAATCCACCGGCCATTGCGGCATTTGGCCAACTCTTGGCGGTGCAAAACTTGCTGGCTTCCTCATGGTACATCAAGATGCAGTGGTCCTGCCAAGCATTTGATCCGCCCATGTATGACAACTGCCTCCGAAAATGTCAGGGCGACCTCAAAGGTCGTTCCGTCCAACCCTGCAGGTACTTCGCATGGAACGGACCCCGTCGCGTTTTTCAGAGCCCCTCATTTCATGTCATGCATTCCTGGGTCGCCAAGAAGAACTTGTAATAAACACACCCGCCTGCAATAGAATAGAGCTGCACATCATATACAGCAGTATATACATCTACAAAGTACTGTAGGTCATATGCGTGGGTACTGCAAACATATCCACAGCTCCAGGTCTGTCCCAGACCATTTTCGGAGGACGATGGTTTACGTTTACGTCGATCCTTTGCTTCTTCCAATTGCCTCGGACTCAGAGCATCACTTGCTGCGGAGCATTTCTGCAGTTTGGGGAGCACAGCGGCCGCTGTAACGGCACCAGATTTCACCTGGTCCTGACGCTCTTCTCTACCCAAAGTGGGTGCAACACCATGATGGGCTGATTAGGTCATAGAAACATATCGAAAGTGCATGGGCCAAAGAATCTTTCAAACAGCGCTCTCCACAAAGAGGGCACGAGACGAGACTAAAAGTTGAGTAGAGTAATTCCATTCCAGTATTTCCATTCGCCCACGGCCTGGGGACAAATCACGCAAGTACATCTAGCACCTCGAGTGACCTATCCGGATTGCTGCTTGGTTTTTGCCTTTCAAACACTTTCAGCGCAAAAAAAGGGTGACATGCTTCACAGTTTCAGCTCTGGCCCGCGATGTCGGCCCTAGCCACATCAGCAAAAAAGCCCACTCGGCCCACCCGGGAAGCCACCACTTCGTAACGAAATGACGCAGAGTGGCCAGTCACCAGGCAAACCTGCAACAGCTGGCTGACTGGACCACCCCGCTGATGATATAATCAATGATCGAGTTGTTGATTGATGCCTATTTGCGATATGTCTGTATGCCTTTTTCCGGCTGGGGCGCGCTGGCAAGTCCGCGCTTGGTCAACTCTTCAAGGCAAATCAGGCTGCCCGGGGGGGAGTTGGGCGAAACATGCGTAAACACGGCCTGCCAAATGGCACAAGCCATAAAGCATTGAAAACATGCGGTGTTGGAGGCCCAGACTCAAACGAGACGTCGGGTGCACCTCCTCCACCTTTCCCGGATTCTCCCCTTCGAGAGACGGGACGAGGGGGGAATGGAAGAAGTGCCCTGGGCTTTTTTCACGAGAAAGAAAGGGTGACTCATGATGACCTGACCTTCCAAGTTTGAGCAGATTTCTTCCCAAAGATTCCTATATATAGGTGAGACAAATCCAAGGTTGTCCTGCACCTTGGACTGGAACCCCAGCGCTCGCTCATTGCAACGAATGGACATCTGTCTCATGTTCTTCCGTGGCACCTTGCCCAGGCAAACTTGCACTTGGCTCCTGGCATCCCCCCTCCAGCAAGAAGCAGGACAATCGATGGGACAAATCCCACACTTCGTCGCAAACATGGAAGTGGACAAACCACCCCCTGGAAAAGTAGAGGAAGGTCGTGGAACCCAGGAGACCAGGTCCACTTGCATGATTGTTGGAGGGAGGGTAAGTCTTTGCCTGGCCCCGTTGTTCTCGTCCCCGACTTCGTCTCGACCTCTCGACTGCTCCGGTCGGTCCTCTGCCGATGAAGCCGCCTCGAACCCAGCCGGGCCGGGCAGCACTCCGGACGGACACCGAGGGGTTTGGTGTTATGGCTTGGGGCAGATCCGATTGAGGTGGCTGATGGTTGTTGCGCAAACTCAGAAGGAACACTCATCGACTTTGGCGAGGTCCGAGGTTCAACAAATGAAGCACCTGGCAAGCAGCTGTTGCTGTTGCTGTTGCTGTTGCTGTTGCTGTTGCTGCTGCTGCTGCTGCTGCCGCCGCTGCTGCTGCTGCTGTTGCTGCTGCTGTTGCTGTTGCTGCTGCTGATGCTGTTGCTGCTGTTGCTGCTGTTGCTGCTGTTGTTGTTACTTGTTGTTGTTACTTGTTGTTGTTACTTGTTGTTGTTACTTCTTGTTGTTACTTCTTGTTGTTACTTCTTGTTGTCACTTCTTGTTGTTACTTCTTGTTGTTACTTCTTGCTGTTGTTGTTGTTACTTGTTGTTGTTACTTGTTGTTGTTACTTGTTGTTGTTACTTCTTGTTGTTACTTCTTGTTGTTATTTCTTGTTGTTTCTTCTTGTTGTTACTTCTTGTTGTTACTTCTTGTTGTTACTTCTTGTTGTTACTTCTTGTTGTTGTTGTTGTTGTTTGCTTTGTCACTTGGATATGCACGGGGTCTTCTCTGGGCTTCGTTGCGACCAAGAAGTCGGAGGGAAGGTGGATACAAATGGATACAGTAGTTCTTGGAGTGTGGGTCCTTTTGAGGAGGGTGGGCGTCCTTGGATCGAGTGAATCAAGTCATATCAAGTCCTCAGCTCAGTTTGTCAAGCAGCACCCTTTCCCACCTTCCCCACCTCAAATTCGCCACACACACTCTCTCCAACACTCACGGTTCAGCAGGTGAAGCGGAGTTCATCCCTGTTTTGAGGAGGATGTTCGGCTCCTCCAAGCATGTTCGGTTTGTTTTGGAAAGGTCATGCCCTTGGTTCATTATTTCACCCACCACGGATCTCTGATCAAACTGGACCTGCGTCGGAATGCCCGCTGTTTGGCACCTCCGGAAAGAGCACGAAGTTGGAGTGCAACAACATCATCAAACAGGCACCTCTGTTGATACCTTCCCTCTACGTCATCCAGCCTCCAACGTCCTCCAACGTCATACCGGGCGGTCTCGACTCCTCGGTTCGACCCCGGACCCCCGGCCGACCCGGACGCGCTGGGAGGCCGACCCCGCTGGTACGCCGTTCCATGGCACGCAGCACGGAGGCCGCATAGTTGGCGGTCACTTGACCTGGGGCGCCGAACAGGGAGACGTTGAAACGGGAACGGCCGTTGGACCGGTACGGCCGTTGGAGTCGTCCGTTGGATTCGGAAAGGACGACTCCAATTCAGCGGAGATGATGGAGGTGATCGCCAAAACCGGGGGGAAGGTTTCGCACTCACATCACAGTGCTCTTCCGATGTTACTTTGGCCATCTTGGGCCGCATCCCAACTCATCCATGCAGTGACCTCAGTCCAGAATGCCCGACCATCTGCCAAATCGCCGCGAACTTGTTTAATGAATTACTGCATCGAGCTTCGCGACCATGAAACGACCCGAATGAAACGACGCGACCCGCCCCACGGATCACCCGAGATCCGCCCCCGAGCTTCGCCGCCGATGCCTATGCTTCCGCGCTGGCTCGCGCCAACTCTGCGCGGCTCCTCAAGGCTTCCTGCAGAAACGACGGTTCCCGGGTGCCGTGTGCGACGCGTCCGTCAAGCGTTCCCGTGGGCAACAGATGAAACAAGCCATTGAGAGAAGAAAACCAGATGCGGGAAACGGGTTTCTTTGGTTTCTCTTTATCTCTCTCTCTCTCTCTCTCTCTCTCACGTCTGTGCTAGAGGCCACCATCAGAACCCCAGTTCCCGTCGTAGGCAGCTGTTCCGACAAACACCGGTGTGTTCCGACGAGCGAAAAATTACACCAGCATAGACCCCAGATAGCAAAAACATGCAAAAAAATGGGCAGCACCCTGCAATGTCAGCAGCTCCAAAGCATACACAGGAACCTTTTTGACACACTTGGGCGTATCTCCTCTACCAGCTCTACCTACCAACCAAACAAACCAACCTAGCCGGTACAAGGCCACCGATGCTTCTAATCCTTGCCCCTTCCGACGGCCCTTTTCATTGCTTCGTCGGGAAGTCATAGGGAAACGCGGGAGTGGCTTCAAGTCCTGCGTACACCGTAGGTGTTGAGGTGAAGATGAGGTTGACAACAACCCTCCAACCAAGAATCCCTAGCAATGCAAAACATGCTAGCACCAGCACCGGCAACCTGTCTCCACCACGTGCACAGCCAGCTCACAGAACACAGCACCAGCACCAGCACCCGCACGCGCCACCCAGCAGCTCACAGCACCAGCAACACAAGCACCAGCAACCTGTCTCCACCACGTGCACAGGCAGCTCCCAGCACCAGCACCCGCACCGCACCACCACGTGCGCAGCCAGCTCACAGCACCAGCACCAGCAACGCCACCCGGCACCCAGCATCAGCACCAGCAGCAGCAACCTGTCTCCACCACGCGCACAGCCAGCTCACAGCACCAGCACCTGCACCAGCACCCGGCACCCAGCACCAGCACCAGCAACCTGTCCGCACCACATGCACAGCCAGCTCACAGCACCAGCACCAGCACCGGCACCCGGCACCCGGCACCCGGCACCAGCACCAGCAACCTGTCTCCACCACGCGCACAGCCAGCTCACAGCACCAGCACCAACACCGGCACCCAGCACCAGCACCAGCAACCTGTCTCGAAAACGCGCACGGGCAACTCGTTGTTATTTGAAGTACGAACCCCATAGCTTCGCTATCTGGGGAAAACTCCTTTCCACCTGCTTGGAAGGACAAACCGAACCACCCGCAGGTTGCGCGGAATTCTTCCATCACCGGGAAGGAAGCATGCAGCCAAACGTGTGCACCATGCGCTTCTGGCGTTGCAACAGCACTGCCAACGAAGCCTCTTCCGACCAATGCGTTCCAGAAATTCCTGAGCACCTGAAGCTCCTGGGCCTTAGCCTTAGTCCTTATAGTCATTGGCTCATCCAGAATCAGTCTGAGCTTCAACCTGACTTATCTTACGCAGCTCACTAACTTGATGCTAGGAGAGGCAATGTAGGAGTAGACCAACCCTGCAAAAGCTCCATACAAATCACTCAAAAAGCTTCAACAACCCCCGCTCCAGATTTGAGGTCTGTGATGACGAAGCCTTGGCCACGGCTTCGAATGGATCGCGGACCTCTGTGCACAACACTGCCTAGAATCCCTGGATCAAAAGGCCGCTAACTACTGTACACAAAGTCACGAATCCCCATAATGATCCATCATGACCGCTGCGGACATGTCTTAATTGGATGCTCACCATTTCTAATACTTGGAAACCCGGAAGAAACACCTCATGCATCCGACCGGCGAAATCACCACGACCACGTCCGGAGATGTCCGGCGGCTCTTCGTGACTGTGCTAAGCTACGTGCTACCCTGCTCACCATCGATTTAAGAGCACTGAATGCTAAAGAGCCATTCTTGTAAACTAAGGCTTGTACACTACAATTCTTTTCCTCTCCAAGGCTAGGGGCTCTAGATGCTTTGTTTTGTCCTCACGCAAGTCAGCCCACAAGAAATATCACATAATATCACGCAAGTCAGCTGAATCCTGCAATTAAATATTTGACTTCAAAGAGTTGAACAAGTCTGGAAAAAACTCCAGGGACGGTCTGCCACGGAGTGACTGTCACGGGGTCTGCAGCTTGTTCGATGCTACCCTTCATGCCCTCCGCTCGCCCATGTCAAGTGTTCCGACGCCCATGTCAAGAATACTATACGTCACCGGGGGTCTGGATGGTTCTGGCATGTTCCAGCTTGGTGCACTGCTTGGTGCATACAGATGTGAATTTCTCAGTCTGAGGCCCCAAGATCTCTGAACACCTGGCAGGTGGCGACAACCGTCGATCGATCGATTTAAGCGGTGTTGTGGCCGGCTCGGCGGGGGCGGCGACCTGCAACACCGGGCTGCAAGAGCCCTGACCGAACGAGTTCCAACGTGGAAATCAACCGGTGTCCCACCCCATGGCCGGCCCAGAATGGACCACCAAAAGACTTGCGATTCAAGCCAGGAGTTCTGAAGGGGGGATGTCTTATAGATCTTGGAGCCTATCTCTCAGTGATCCTCCAGCGTGTGAGGTGCCCCCTGCTTTGCGATGAAACCGATATCAAGAACCTGGCCTGATTTGCTATCTCGCGGCATTCTTGCCGTACCTGGCACAAAGAAACCATGTAAAATGAACGTCTGACGGCCTTCTGCCCCTGTCATCAGATGTTCTGCCGTCAGATCTGAGCCTTTCTGACTGCGGAGCGCCCCTTTGGTGCTTCCGGAGTTGGATGAGATCGATGCCCTTGCCAGTCACTGAGAGAAGTCGAAGGACCAAGAGTGGACATCTATGGCATCTATGGATTGGATGGGATACAGTTACAGGCTTCCAACCATCGGACTTGCTCTCGACTTGCTTCGCCAGCCATCCACCTCTTGGCCACGTCCCCCGGAGAAGCGCAACCCTTGGGGTGGCACCAATTTCGGTGGCCTTTCCTTCTTCCGCTTCACCTCGGTCGGAGCTCCGAGTCGCCGCGTGCAGAAGCAGAAGAGCGGGCCGGCTCGTGAAAAGCGAACGCGGCAAGTGGCAACTGGCAAGTGGCAAAGACGAAGCGAAAGGACCTGTGAACCGCTTAGGCATGCTCCCATGAATATATATAAATCATCACCAAGCACAAGCCCATAGAAATTCCAGGAGAAAAAAGAGACTCCGTCGCACGACTCGCGGCTCAATCTGAACGGTGCCTCCCAAAAGTGCCTCAGGTTCTGACATGCTCTAAGTGGCAGTATTGGCAAGACCTGGGGCAGTGCGGACCAAATGATTTTCTGCAAGATGGACGTCCAAGAAGTGAACCAAAATTCGTCACAGCGCACACCCAAGGCCGGAACACACCCAAACACCCCGCTGTGCCTTCCAAAATGGCAGCCCTTCTTGTTGAACATGTAGAAGCAAGGTTTGCCTCGGACCAGGGATGAACCTCCATCCCCCACCCAGCCAACGGAATTTGTATAAAAACAACACAAATCAGCAAGGTAAGAGCTAACCAATCCCATTGGCTTTTGAGTGGTGAAAACATCAAAGTTGGAACAAACATCTACATGCACATATTCGACGCTTCTTCGGTGCAGTGTGTGTTACATTGAATGAACCAACTCCTTAGCACCTTAGTTGTCTTCACTGCTGCATCTGAAAGGTGCAAGAAACCTCCCACCACTACTGGTTATATGACATATAGAGAGAGAGAGAGAGAAAGAGAGACACACCTGCCTTAGTACCTTTTAGCAGCCAGGGTCACCTGCGCAGACAGGATTCTGGAGGTTCATGGCCAACCATAAGCCCCCCCCTCTGTCCCGCGTTTGGTCTAAAGACGGACCGCGGTCTCCGGGCCCTCGGGCAATTCTCGGGGTGCCCTAAGGAGCCGATCGTTGGAACGTCCTCGGGCAAATCCTGGGAGAGGCCCGGTCGGTCCATGACAAGCACGTCCTAACGGCGGTCTCTTCGGTCCTGGCGGGGGGCTGTTGTTTGCCCCCCGAAAGGAAGGAACAGGTTCGGTTTCCGGGTCCATGTGTGCAGTGAGCAGGCAGGATCCCAGAGCAAGAGGTTGCTTGGCACCTTGGCTACGGACTAACCCATGGTTAAACGCGCCAACGAGCATGCTATTATGTACATGTGCTAGTTGCTTAGTGGCTGAAGTCAACGATCCCGTGCAAAATCTGAACGCCATGTTCGCTGTGACTTGTGACCTCCCAAACAAACCATATTGTCACAACTTCCCAGACCTGGCCCACCGCACCCATTCACCCGCCCTACGCCCTCCTCTACCTGGATTTCCCTGGGTAGGAATCTCGAAGTGCTTCCGCCTGCGCGACGGCACAAATGGGTGAGCCGCTTCCGACGGCAGGTTGGCTTAGGTTGGCTGAATGGCTCACTGCATCTCCTCCAGGGAGCAGGAAAGTATCGTGATCAGCCCTAATTCGATTTTGTTCAAAAAACAATCGATTAAGAGAAAGACCATGTGATTTGGATGACGAGTACTTTTGTGGGTTTACTTCTGCCCCTGTGTCCTCTGCAAAGGCGGAGTCGCCAAAGCAAAAAACGGTCATCTCTTTACGTGGCCAGCATGCGGTACACTAGTTCCTGCCATGGGGCGCCGAATTGGTTTCTTCCGCCGAGAGCTCGCTAGATGAAGCCTCCGATACATCCACGTCACTCGAACGGCTCAGTCTTCCGCCGGATGGTTTATATAGGACTGGGCCAAAAACCGAGTTCTGAAGGAGTACCAGAAAATGCTCAGTCGCTGCTCCCGCGTAGCGGGGTGGGCCTTCGTCCGAGTGGAAGGGCGTCGGCACCGCGCGCGGGGACCTGGAGAGGGCGGGGCTAGGCTCCGGCTTTGTCGGAGGTTTGCTGAGGAACTCTCAAATGCTCGCCGTGTCTGCAACCATCTGAATACATCTTTAAATACGTTTAACAGAAAGGAGGAACTGCCAGGCTGTTTGGCCCATCGCACATCTGTAATCATCGATATACACTCTACACCGTCGAGTTGCAATATTCAATATCACTTGTACCGCTGGTCGGCTTGACACTTGACCCATCTTGACCGCAACACCCAGATGTTATTCTTACACCCTGACGCTTGAACAAGCTTGAACGCAAACACACGTGCACTGCACTCCCCCAAAACACTGACATGTTCAAATTCTGACATTTGTCTTCGGGATTGTAGCCATACTGAAGAACCCACTCAGGAAATCAGCACCTCAGTGTTTCATCAGCATCTGCATGCAAAAATTGCTTTTCGCTTTGGCGCTTTTCATCTTGGTCTTCGCGTGTTCGCGGGCGTTTTGACCCACAGTTTGCTGAGCGAAGGAAACAACAAGTCTGAAACTTCAGTGGCTGGGATTTCTAGGCTTCCCCGCGGGATGTGGAAGTCACCCGCGCCCCTGATGGCGTCGAATTTTCACGAGTCCAGTTCTTGTTATTGTTGGTATTTACTAAAACTATATATATATACAGTATCTAAAACTAGCATAAACTTGCCACATTGTAGGTGCGAACCAGATGGCACAAAAAACCTGAAAAAATATAGAGCGATAGGATCTGGCTCAAGCCGATAGGGGCTAAGTCCAGAAGATGGAGGAGAGGATATAGCAACAGATATCGATGCATTGGCTGGTTAAACCCGGCATCTTCTGGAAACGGTGCGTTCTCTACAAACGCACGCTGAAACAACATGGAACACAGAGAAGGGAGAGACAGAGAGAAGGGAGAGACAGAGGAGGGGAGGCGGGGAGGCAACAAAAAGAAAGAAAAAGAGGGAAGTGCCAGGGGCAGAGAAGAGAGAAGAAGAGAGAAAAGAGAAGAGAGAAGGGTGAAGAGAGAAGGGAGGGGAGAAGGGAGAAGGGAGAAGAGACAAGAGAGAAGAGAGAAAAAAGGGAAGAGAATCGAGGAAGTGAAGAGAAGAGAAGCTAAGAGAAGGGTAGGGCCGGGCAGGGAAGAAAGGAAAGAAAATGAAAAAGGACACTTTGTCAGTGCCACAGAAGCAAAAACAAGAAAACAAAGTAGAGTAAAAGCAGAGTAGATTGTTCAAGTCCGAAAATATACAGCATGTACAATTAGATGGTATATACATGTGTAAGATGTACATAGATCATAAATAAGACTGGACCCAGGATACTCAGGGCGGCTTCAGAGCCACCGGCGCATGCAGCACGGTGTTTCTCTTGCGCTGGTTCGACTGAAGCACGGTGGTTGACCAATCGTGACGCGGCGGAGCGCTATGTGCAAGTGCCAATGGGGGGGCGTATAGATGGCGCACAAGCCATGCAAGAACGACATGAATCTCAACGGTCATGTGGTTGGCACTTAGAGTAGATTATATAGATGCTTTGCATGCTCCATCAATGGGGTCATCAAACCTTCAATCACATGCCCTTCCATACTAATGATGTGTGTATATATACAAATTATACTATATCCTATGTGCGTTTCATCTGTTATTGCATCGTCATCACTTGCAAATGTTATCAATGCCATTTTTGCACGATTCTTTATTTGTGAGAGGATGGGGACCCGAATTTCGCTGGACCCAGTCGATCGAGCAGGGGAAGCCGACAGAATGCCCCAGCCGGTTCGTGAACAAATCTTCGCCTCACATGAACTGGCACGCCCACCACCATAAATCATGAACTGGGTTTATAGTCGCTCACACGTTTCATGCCCTCTGCATCCCTCCGCCCAGTAGGCACATCCACCCAGCCCAGAGAGTCCGAGTCGCGCAGCGAAAATCTGAGTGGCACCAGCCGCGGCCTGGGGCGAACCGGCTCCGCCGTGGACGGTCACCCGGGCCGAGGGCCAACGAGCGACGGACGGAGGATCAGATGGGCCACAATTGAAAGAATTCCAATGGCACGCGTTTTTGGTTGGAAGAAAACCCATGTCTCCGAAGAACAGTTGGGGTGTTGCAAAGAAAAGGATCCACCGTGGATCAATCATCTCATCCAGAGGGAGCCCTTGGGGCTGTCGGGGGTCTGAATGGAACCTCTCTCTCTGTCTCTGTCTCTCTCTCTCTCTCTCCCTCTCTCTCACGGTGTTGACGAGGTGCTTCAACATGCGATGAAGCCTTCTGGATCCTCCGAAGCTAAAAAGAGGAACATGAACACCCTGGCATAAACCCATCTTAACCCCCGGATGTTGGGTCCTAACCACCGAAAGGGGCCTTCCTCTCACGCCCCAAGTTACGGGATGTTACCGCCTCGGTTCGCAGTTCGAAGATGTTCGAAGATGCTTATTGAAGATACTACTCAAGGAAAACGAGACAAGCAACATGGACCATGGACCGAGACTGGCCAAGCTTTTTTCAGCCAACGGGTTTGTCCTTTACAAACCCAGTGGTTTTCAGGGTTTCTCCCCGGGTGAGTCGACCTGATCTCCGGCTCGGACGTGCTGAAGAAGAGTTTCTTCGGCTCGGACGTGCTGGGAGTGATCTGGTTTCGGTTCTGTGCGAGACGTCGCCAATACATCCCACCGTTTGGGCTGAAATCCGGGCAGTGAGATGCCTCGAATTGAGTTGAGGATTTGGGTATATTTGAGGAAGGCGCCGAAGCAAGATTCACCGGCAAAAGGCCGTGGATGTCAGTAAGAGGGGCGTTTCTCTGCTACAAATGGCCCCCTAGCTGCTAGGCTCTCACTTGAGCAGCCTACAAGGAAGAGCGATGCATGTGAAACCTGAAATTGAGAACTTGCCAAATCATCTTCAGCATCCACAGAAGCTAGGGGCTGGATGGTGATTCAATTGTGGGACATCTCCCGCCCCTTGTACCTGTTCAACATGTTAACAAGTTTATCTTCGAGTCGTGGATGTTAACATGTCAACCCATCCCAAGTCACATCAGTCACTGGACTGATGATTCCTGCTTCACTCACTTTTCGTCTCTTTGTTGTGACTGGACCAACCCGTGGCTTCCCAAAGGGCCGCGAGCCGCGGCTCCCGCTCTCGCCTGCTGTGCACTGCGCAATTGCGCTTTCACGGTCTCGAGCTGCGCCTGGAGACGCGAAGACGAAGAAGTCCGAAGAAGAGCTCCACCCAGGAAAGCTGCAGCACGAATTGGTCCATGGAGTCAATTGGTGACGTTCTTTCCCAGGGCGTGCCGGCGCGTGCCCTGCGCGCGCTATAACTGGGCGCGATCGTGCAGAAACGGCTCTAGAAAGGTGCGTACTGCAGCTGCATACACCGTTCCACCCACTCGAAAGAGTTAGGAACGAACGAAACCTGTCACCTTGGGTCGTCATAGCTGCTCCGGAGGATGTGTCCTAGTAACTTGGCACATGTGGTGTTCGCTGCAACTTCTATATGGTTGTCATTCTCCTGTCGCGACAAGGCGGGAAGTAGTGGAGGTTGCTTCTTCAAAAATACTGCTTGATTAATTATTAAAGCTGAGGGTCGTTTGATAAATTGTTTTTATCAAACCTCTCATTTGGAAAGTGTCCAATGATCTGCTCGCGACCCGTGCTATATCACTGAACAGTGCGCAGTCTGTAAAGAGGTGCAATAGTGTAAATATATGTATATATACACTTCCGATAATGGCATAGTCAGTTTCCACTTCTTGCTGGCCTGCGGACCATATCCTTTGGAAAATCTGTTCTGAGGTATACACAGCATTGAAATTGGGCACATATTCATGACTAGCAAACGGTAAACATGTCTTCCTCCCATAGTCCCCATATGTTCTGTCCATGATGATGAGTCTTCATCCTTCCTTGCCACGAAAAACGGGTGTTGCAGTGGTGGG